ACCCCAGTGTTTAGTACTCCCCTTTCTGTGTCCATGTGTTCTCATTTTTCATCACCCACCTATGAGTGAGAATATGCGGTGTTTCATTTTCTGTTCTTGTGTCAGTTTGCTGAGGATGACGTTCTCCAGATTCATCCATGTCCCTACAAACGACACAAACTCATCATTTCTGATTGCTGCATAATATTCCATGGTGTATATGTGCCACATTTTTCCAATCCAGTCTATTATCAATGGGCATTTGGGTTGATTCCAGGTCTTTGCTATTGTAAACAGTGCTGCAATGAACATTCGTGTACATGTGTCCTTATAGTAGAACGATTTATAGTCTTTTGGATATATACCCAGTAATGGGATTGCTGGGTCAAATGGAATTTCTATTTCTAAGGCCTTGAGGAATCGCCACACTGTCTTCCACAATGGTTGAACTAATTTACACTCCCACCAACAGTGTAAAAGTGTTCCTTTTTCTCCACATCCTCTCCAGCATCTGTTGTCTCCAGATTTTTTAATGATCGCCATTCTAACTGGCGTGAGATGGTATCTCAATGTGGTTTTGATTTGCATCTCTCTGATGACCAGTGACGATGAGCATTTTTTCATATGATTGTTGGCCTCATATATGTCTTCTTTCGTAAAGTATCTGTTCATATCCTTTGCCCACTTTTGAATGGGCTTGTTTGTTTTTTTCCTGTAAATCTGCTTGAGTTGTTTGTAAATTCTGGATATCAGCCCTTTGTCAGATGGGTAGACTGCGAAAATTTTTTCCCATTCTGTTGGTTGCCGATCCACTCTAGTGACTGTTTCTTTTGCCGTGCAGAAGCTGTGGAGTTTCATTAGGTCCCATTTGTCTATTTTGGCTTTTGTTGCCAATGCTCTTGGTGTTTTGTTCATGAAGTCCTTGCCTACTCCTATGTCCTGGATAGTTTTGCCTAGATTTCCTTCTAGGGTTTTTATGGTGCCAGGTCTTATGTTTAAGTCTTTAATCCATCTGGAGTTAATTTTAGTGTAAGGTGTCAGGAAGGGGTCCAGCTTCTGCTTTCTGCACATGGCTAGCCAGTTTTCCCAACACCATTTGTTAAACATGGAATCCTTGCCCCATTGCTTGTTTTTGTCAGGTTTATCAAAGATTGTATAGTTGTATGTATGTTGTGTTGCCTCCGGTGCCTCTGTTTTGTTCCATTGGTCTATATCTCTGTTTTGGTACCAGTACCATGCTGTTTTGATTACTGTAGCCTTGTAGTATAGTTTGAAATCCGGTAGTGTGATGCCCCCCGCTGTGTTCTTTTTGCTTAGAATTGACTTGGCTATGCGGGCTCTCTTTTGGTTCCATATGAAGTTCATGGTGGTTTTTTCCAGTTCTGTGAAGAAAGTCAATGGTAGCTTGATGGGGATAGCGTTGATTCTGTAAATTACTTTGGGCAGTATAGCCATTTTCACGATATTAATTCTTCCTAACCATGAACATGGAATGTTTCTCCATCTGTTTGTGTCCTCTCTGATTTCGTTGAGCAGTGGTTTGTAGTTCTCCTTGAAGAGGTCCCTTACGTTCCTTGTGAGTTGTATTCCAAGGTATTTTATTCTTTTTGTAGCACTCAGATTTTTTAAGAGGTGAACACCCCACAGCCTGAAGGCAACAGCAACAAGACCTGTGTGACAGCAAAAATGGCAGCTTACCTCTGCCTGTGGGAGTTCCATCCCAGGGAAATGGAGAGTTGCTATAAGCTCAGTATCCACCACAGTCCACAGTGATAGTCCCAGGCCAGTGGGCTTTATCCTCTCAGGTGCAGTAGAGGTGAGGCTTGCAGCCAGTAGCTGCTCAGCCAATTAGATTCAGCCCTTTTCCTGGAGGCATGCAAGGGAGCCTGACATCCCCCATTGCCAGAGCTGCAGCCACTAGTGCAGGGATCCAAGCCTCTTGGGACTCCATATGTGCCTGAGCAGCAGCTTTGCCCAAACTCCCTGAAACCCCCTGCATGACAGTCTGAGAGCTACAGACTGTGGGGTGGGCTCACAAGGGGATACCCTGAGCCCAGGGTTGCAAAGGTCTGTGGTATAAGTATGAGTCCCACGGGATTCTAACTTGTTCACCATTTCCTGGTAGTGGGGAAGTCTCCCCTGGCTCTATGCCCCTCCTGGGTGGGCAGTTGTCCTGTGTGGCTCCTCTCCATTCTCTGTGGGTTGAGTTGTTTCCTTGATGAATCCCAATGTGTACACCTGGATGTATCAGTTGAGGAGATAGGATTTACTCACCACCTTTTATTCTATCCATGAGCTAGTACAGTAGCTGCTTTGTATCAGCCATCTTGAGAAGAATCCATTTATTACCTTCCCCCATCCCATGATCTTACCTTTTGTTTGTCATCCATCATAGGCTGAGAGAAATATGTTAAATAGATATATATTAAATATTCCTGGTATTTTATACATTCCTCTTTATACATCCCTTTGTTCTCTATACTTTTTGCTTTATACATTCTGATGATAGTTTATTTTGTGCATAAAGATTCATGAGAATTAAACCCACATTGTCTTGTTTACAGCTTTTTATCTTGATTTCATACTTCTATGATGTTAATAGCATATCCTTCTTTTTCATTCCCATTTTATTAGTATGTTTTTGTCCATCCTTTTAGCTTCTCTTTGTCATTTTTATCAGTTTTATTGACATATAACTCATAAAATAAACTGAACATATTTAAAGTATATAATTAGCTCATTTTAAATTACATATACATCTGTGAAACCATTTTCTCATGCCTCTTGGTAATCTCTACTTCCAGTCCAATCCTTTCCCACCCTGTCACACGCAATTACTGTTCTGCTTTATTTCACTAAAGACTAAGTGGCATTCTCTAGATTTTTATATAAATGGAATCATTCAGTAGAAAATTTTTGCTTTCTAGCTTCTTTCATTCAGCATAATTATTTTGAGATTTATCCATGTTGTTGCATGCATCATTAGTTCATTCCTTTTATTCCTTTTTATTGCTGAGTAGTATTCCATTATATAGGCATAGCATATTTTGTTTATTCACTTGTTGATCCACATTTGTTGTTTCTATTCCAATGTTGACGGACATTTAGTTTGTTTTGTCCATTAGTAACAAAGCTGCCATGAATATTAGTATATGAGTATTCGCATAGACATATATTTTCATTTCTTTTGGGAAATTAGTTCGCAGTGAACTGCCGGATCACATGTTAAGTATATATTTTAAGAGACTGTCAAACATTTTCCCAAAGTTGTTAATATCTAATTTTACATTACCAGTAGCCATGAATCTTACTTTGTTTGGGTGCTAAATAATTTTGTATTTCTTTAAAGTTTCTTAACTTTGTTCTTTGACACAGTTAAGTTGCTTGGAAAGAAGGTTAACCCTTTGGGGTCTTCCTAATGAATTCTGTTAGGGAAAGACAAAAGCAGTATTTATTCTAGGACTAATTTTGCCCCTTGATTGATGCAAGTCCATTCTGAGGAGTATTCTACCCAATATTACTGAAGTATGAGCTTTTCCAGTTTGACTGGTAAAAAGTGTTATTCCTAGTTCTGTGTGAACTCCAGAGATAATTTTCCCTGACCTTTTCAGATGATTCTTTCCCCAGTCCTGGGTGTTTATCAGTTCTCTCCTGAATATTCAAAAAGAATCTTCTGCAGTTTCCTGAAGTTCTCTCTGTGCAGCTCTCTCTTCTATACTCTGTTCTGCTGATTCTAGCTGTTTTGGTCTCTCAGAACTGCCAACTCGATCTCCACAGCACAAGCACCTGCCAGGTTCTAAGTGAGTTTTCCCTCAAGTCAGTAAACTGGTACAACTGAAGACTTCAAACCAGTTGTTTCTCACCATTTAGAGATCACTGTACTTTGTTGCCTGCCATGGTATGAATGTTTGTGTACCCTTCCCCCAAATTCACATGTTGAAAGCTAATCCCCAATAGTCTTAAGAGGTTAGGCCTTTGGAAAGTGATTACATTATAAATGCAGAGCCCTCAGGAATGGGATTAGTGCCATTATAAAAGAGGTTCCACAGAGCTACATTGTCCCTTCTACTATGTGAGGACACAGTGAAAAGGAGCTGTCTATGAATCAGAAAGTAGACTCTCACCAAACACAAAATCTACTAGTGGCTTGATCTTGAACTTCAGACTCCAGACAGCTGTGAGAAACAAATTTCTGCTGTTTATAAGCTACTCAATTTATAATATTTTGTTATAACAGCCTGAATGCACTAAGACCTTGCCTAAGTTCCAATGCCTTGAACATTATTTTATGTACTTCAGCCAATTTGATCATTTCCAAAAGGGGAGTAAATGTAGAACCTGCTACCCCATCTTATTTCTACTGCAACTCTACACACACATATACATTCATATTTAGCTAAATGTCTTTCACTTAAAGGGTAAATTGTCTAATTTATACATATTGATATGCCATTTTTTGCTTTTGTTGTTTCATGCTATGCTTTATTTATAAGTTCTTTTGTGTTTTGTATTTTCCTATATTATCTACTTTTCCTTTGTTTAATTCAATTGTGTCCTCTGAAGTTGATACACTTTTTGGCTCCAAATGCTATGTCAATAACTCTAATTTTATACAATAAATTTAAGTTTTGGTTTATTTAATTATCAATTGAAGAGAATACATTAGTGACCACCCACTATAACAGATGCAGTAATTACTACATAATACTTCCGAAACCGAAGTTGCCTCCACCTCCTGATTTCAGTTGTTTACGTTCACATTTTTAGCTCTTCTCATAATTGCATATATATATATACACACACACACACACACACACACATACATGCATAGATGATGAAAAATCTTATTTCATTGTCTTTTTAAGCAGTTACTATGAAAGGTAAAGGAATAATATATGTAAATATTCTCCCAACTTCTCTCCAAGTTTACAATTGCTGATTTAGATCAGAATGAGTAGTAACATCATTATTTCCATGTCATTAAAGGTCATTGTGGCAGAAAGTGGATATACACCAATATGTTCTCTTTTTTTTTTTTTTTTTTAAAGTTTTCATCTTTAATGAAATGACTTTGGAAACAATATACATTTCCATGACACCAATACTACAGTTTTTGGAGTCACAGTAAGATACACAGAATTACATCCGTAATTAATATGAATGCCAACATGTCAAGCAGTAATTTGTTACATGGCAAACAAAATCAAGAAAGCAACCATCAACCAAAAGAGACCCATAGCTTCAGACAAGGCAAATCCCAGGATAGCAGCCACTCCTACTGTTGCAGCACCTGCACCAATAAATTTGGCAGCAGTATCAATGTCTCTGCTGATTGCACTGGTCTGAAACTCCCTCTGGATTAGCTGAGATACACCATTCTGGGCCCCATTAAATACCGTAGAGCCCTCTCCATTCCTAGTCTCTGGTCGAGATAACACTGATGCAGAAATCGGTCTGTATGCAACTCTGGATCCAGCTCGGATCAGAGCGGGGGTGCAGGCGAGCTTGGCGCAGGCGAACATCTTACACTCCTCGGAACCACGCGGCTGGAGGTCTTGGATGACACGCTACGTGGGCTCCTCTCCCGCTTCCTCTCTTCCCGAGAGGTGGCGGCGGCACCGGGTGCGGCAGAGGTCTCTTAGTAGGAACATGGAAAGTCTACATTTCCCAGGCTCCTTTGCAGATAGATTGGCTCATGTAACCAATTCTGCTAAAGGAATGTCAACAAAAATGATGTAAACAACTTCCAGTTCTGACCTCTAGAATTTCACATGAAAATCTTCTCTTTCCGTCTCTCCTGTGTATTTAATTGAAAGAACTGCAAGAAAGTAGAATCATACATTGGAAAGTGCCTTGGATTCCTAAGTCACCATGTGGAGAGTAACTACTAAAGAAAGTCACTAAACTTTCAGCAGCAGACAGTGATGTGAACAAAAAATAACCATTTAGTGAGTTAAAGCTTTGATATTTTGACGCTGCTTATTATAGCAACTACCAATCATTTTTCTAAATAGTACAATTGTTTTTATTCTGGTATGTAACCGTATATCCCCCATTCTATTTTAAAATGTGCTCCATGTTTATCACCAATCCTTCTATTAAAACTTCTTCACATGTATCTTAATTGGTTCAATTTTTCACAGAGAACACTTTTCAGGGATTTTGTTACCTATTCTCATAGGACAGATAATGACTCCCTAAAGATGTCCAGACACTAATCCTGGAGTCCTGGAATGCTGATGATATGATATATGAAATTGCAGGAGAAACTTAGGTGATATAATTAAGGTTACTAATCAGCTAACATTAAGATAAGGAGATTATCCTAGATTTCCAAGGAGGGACTAGTGTAATTGCATGAGCCTTGTGAGACTCTAAGCAAGGAAACCAACCAAGCTATGAAAGCAACCCAGACTTCTGAACTACAGAAACTGAGATAACACACTTACATTGTTTTAAGCCTTGAAATTTGTGGTAACTTGTGACAACAGTAATAGAAAACTGTCCCATCTACAACTCTTTCACATGTCGGTGATCATAATAATTAGTGACAACTTGACTGTATAAAGTTTTGGTTGGTCTTATTTTCTTCGCCTTAAGACGTTTGTTAACAGGCCCTTATTCACTGTTTGTTTTCTAGTATTAACTATCATTGTATGGAAGTCTGATGTCATGCTGATTTTTTTTTTTTTTTGCCCTTACAATTGATTTGATGTGTTCAAGGGTGGTCTGGGCACCCATAGGATTATTTTATTTAGAAAAAGTAGAAGTAGAGTAATGTTAAGTAGAAGTAGAGTAATGTTAGCAGACTATGTCATGGTATTGACATTTTAATATGACACGAAAGGCTAAACCAAATGGCAAGAAAAGACTCTATGTGAATAAGCAAGTATGGGCACTGCATACTCCATCCCAGGCACACGTTGTGAATTTGTGAAAGGAAATGTAGAGTTTGCAGATGGCATTTCCCATGACCCTTAGTTTTTAAGAGACTTCCTGAAAATTCTCAGCAGAGACAAGCTACAGACTTTAATTATGCAGGTTATGATCTTTTACTACTACTTTTTGTTTTGTTTCATTTTCTGTTTCCTTCTTCAGAAATATTAATCGTACATTTGTTGCAACTTTATTATTTTCCATATTTAAATTTTTGCCCAGGTGTTTTTCAGATCTGTTTTCTTTTATATTTCAACTCTAATCATTTTTCAAGCCCCTATGTGGATGTGTATACAATAATTTTGATTGTATGTTCAGCAGTAGCTAACCTCATTGAACATACAATGATTCTGATTGTATATTGAGCAGTACCTAATCTCTCATTTCTATTATTCTTATTGTGCTTTTCTTTTCTCTAAAACAAAGTATTCTTTCCTGTTATATAATGTCATGGTTTGGCTGTGCCCCCACCCAAATCTCAATTCAAATTGTATCTCCCAGAATTCCCACATGTTGTGGAGGGACCCAGGTGGAGGTAATTGAATCATGGGGTCAGTCTTTCTCATGCTATTCTCATGATAGTGAATAAGTCTCATGAGATCTGACAGGTTTATCAGGGATCTCTACTTTTTCTTCTTCCTCATCTTTCTCTTGCCACTGCCATGTAAGAAGTGCCTTTTACCTTCTGCCATGACTAGGAGACTTCCCTAGACATGTAGAACTGTAAGTCCAATTAAACCTCTTTTTCTTCCCAATCTCGGGTATGTCTTTATCAGCAGTGTGAAAACTAACTAATACAGTAAATTCATAACAGTAGAGTGGGGTGTTGCTGAAAAGATACCCCAAAATGTGGAAGCAACTAGTAACTGAGTAACAGGAAGAGGTTGGAACAGTTTGGAGGTCTCAAAATGAGACAAGAAAATGTGGGAAGGGTTGGAACCTCCTAGAAATTTGTTGAATGGCTTTGACAAAATGCTGTTAATTATGTGAACAATAAGGTCCAGGTTGAGGTGGTCTCAGAGGGAGATGAGGAACTTGTTGGGAAGTGGAGCAAAGGTGACTCTTGTTATGTTTTAACAAAGAGACCGGCAGCATTTTACCCCTGCCCTAGAGATTCATGGAACTTTGAACTTGAGAGAGAGGATTTAGGGTATCTGGTGGAAGAAATTTCTAATCAGAAATTAGAAATTAGTAGCAAGGAGCCTAATGTTAATCCCCAAGACTATGGGGAAAATGTCTCCAGGCCATGACAGAGACCTTCACAGCAGCCCCTCCCATCATAGGCCCAGAGGCCCAGGAGGAAAAAGTGGTTTTGTGGGCCAGACCTAGGGACTTCATGCTGGGTATAGCCTAGGGACTTGGTGCCCCATGTCCCAGCCACTCCAGGCATTGCTGAAAGGGGCCAATGTATGGCTTGGGCTGTGGCTTCAGAGGGTGTAAGCCCCAAGCCTTAGCAGATTCCACACAATATTGAGCCTGCAGTGCACAGAAGTCAAGAATTGAGGTTGTGAACCTCTGCCTAGATTTCAGAAGATGTATGGAAGCACCTGGATGCCCAGGTAGAAGTTTGCTGCAGGGGCAGGACCCTCATGGACAGCCTCAGTTAGGGTAGTGCAGAAGGGAAATGTTGGATTGGAGCCCCCACAAAGAGTCCCTACTGGGATACTGCCTAGTGGAGCTGTAAGAAAGGGTCACCATCCTCCAGACCCCAAAATGGTAGATCTACCAACAGCTTGCACCATGTGCCTGGAAAAGCTGCAGACACTCAATGGCAGCCTGTGAAAGCAGCTGGGAGGGAGGCTGTACTCTGCAAAGTCACAGGGGCAGAGCTGCCCAAGACCATGGGAACCCACCTCTTGCATCAGCGTGACCTGGACATGAGACCTGGAGTCAAAGGAGATCATTTTGGAGCTTTAAGATTTAACCGACCTGCTGGATTTTGGACTTGCATGGGTCCTGTAATCCCTCTGCTTTGGCTAATTTCTCCCATTTGGAATGGTTGTGTTTACCCAATACCTGTACCCCCATTGTATCTAGGAAGTAACTAGCTTGCTTTTGATTTTACAGGCTCATAGGCAGAAGAGACTTATCTCAAAGGAGACTTTGGACTGTGAGCTTTTGGGTTAATGCTGAAATGAGTTAAGACTTTGAGGGATGGTTGGGAAGGCATAATTGGTTTTGGAAATGTAAGGACATGAGATTTGGAGGGGCCAGGGCAGAATGATATAGTTTGGCTCTGTCCCCACCCAAATCGCAACTTGAATTGTATCTCCAAGAATTCCCACATTGTTGTGGAAGGAACCAAGGGGAAGGTAAGTGAATCATGGGGGCCAATCTTTCTCACGCTATTCTCATGATCATAAATACGTCTCATGAGATCTGATGGGTTTATCAGGGGTTTCCGATTCTGTTTCTTCCTCATTTTTCTCTTGCTGCTGCCATATAAGAAGTGCCTTTTGCCTCCCACCATGATTCTGAGGCCTCTTCAGCCATGTGGAACTATAAGTCCAATTAAACCTCTTTTTCTTCCCAGTCTTGCATATGTCTTTATCAGCAGCATGAAAACGAACTAACACATACAACTTTCTGGAGCTCTGCAAGTTCATTTGTTATGTCTGCTGTCTTGTTATCTCTTCTTTGAATTTGTGTACAATATCTTTGAGGTTCTGTTTCAGGCATCCTATGTTTTTCTTATTTAATTTCAGAGAATGATCTTTGTCCAATGTATTCTGATGCTTTGTGGCATGTTTTTTGTTGTATATGCTTCAACTGCCTCTCATTTGTCATGTTTCTTTCCTTATTTCCACTGCTAGTTCATTTTTTTATTGTTACTTATCTTTTAATTAGGATTAATCTTTGGGTAAGAACATGCCCTAAGGAAAGGTGCTAGGATAATAAGCTTAGACAACTGGAAACTTGATTTTCGTTTTAAGAAAACTTTCTAACATTCTATACTGGGGATATGTATCTGTTCTGAAGACGCAATAAATGTCCATATGCCATATATTCTACATACATTGATTTCATATTCACTTCTCTTTCGTTGGCTCAAGATGAAAAATTACAAAGTAAATTTAAAAAAAATTAAAAATGTACACCGCATTCATCTACTGCTCTGTGGTCGTTTCTGAATCCAAACCCCTTTAGATTTTTTTTTTTTTTTTTGAGACAGCGTCGCCCTCTGTCACCTAGTCTGAGAGTACTGGCATGATCTCAGCTCACTGCAACCTCCACCTCCCAAGTTCATGCACTTCTCTTGTGTCAGCCTCCTGAGTAACTAGAATTATAGGCATCTGCCACCATGCCTGGCAAATTTTTGTATTTTTACTAGAGGTGAGGTTTTGCCAAGTTGGCCAGGCTGGTCTTGAACCCCTGACCTCAGGTCATCTGCCTGCCTTGGCCTCCCAAAGTGCTGGGATTACAGGCATGAGCCACTGTGACCAGCCACCCTTTAGATTCTGTGCATTAGGTTTCTCCAGGGTTTCACAGAGTGAAGGAAAGCAATAATTATATTGCCAAGTGCCCAATCTTTTTCCTAAGACTTCAAGATCCTTGCCTGTCTTCACTTTCAACATCAACTCCAGTCCAGATATTTCTATTTCCCCAAATTATTCTTAAATTGTTTGCTCTCCAAATAGTTTTCACTTCTGAAAGCTTTATTCTCTATTCATCTTTACTACTGTAGTACTATTCTTGCTTT